AATGATTATCAAAACGCTAGAAATTCAATGAGGAATTTCGATATAGAAATTCATAATTTCAAAAATGTAGAAATTGCTCCAGGAATTTATATATGGACAATTTGGAATTTCTCAAGCATTTTTCATGAATGATTTTATGCTTACAGTGTATCTGTAAATTACACCGAAATACATTTCCATGTATTTTTTAGGTCAAAAGTGTGCATACTGATCTAAAATCCCTACTGAGCGATCTGAAGGACGACGTAGATGCTTACTTGAAACACGAGAAGGATGGAATATTCAGTGAATTTGGAAAAGAGAATAAAACAACAGACGTTTCCTACTCGTGGTGGAGAGAATTCATTCGAATGCTATATCGTATAGATTATCCGAGAAGTTACTTTCAAAAACTGATCTTAGCTCTAAGAAAATACTATGAAGGTAAAGAGGAAGAACTGAAAATATTAGATGAATTTGAGCGAACATACACTGCGGATAGAGCAATCTGGTGGTATACACGAAATACATTTCTCTATCGTCTGTTGAATACAGCCCTGCGTCAACGTAACGTTGAAGTCGTCTTTCTCTTTGGCTTCTATATCAAAGATATGTACGATCAAATGAAGAGTGAACATCAAAATATGAAAAGTAAACAGACGAATGATCCGGTGGTCACAGTTTATCGAGGACAACAAATTGCACAAGTTGAAATGCAAGAAATTGAAGAAGGAGATCCAACTACTTCACTTTTTGGACTTGAAATTTTTAACGACTTTCATATTACAATCAATAGTTTCCTTTCCACATCTCTTAACCGCTCTGTAGCACAGACGTTTCTTCAATCAGCACCACTTCTTAATGGATGTGTAAAAGCGCTGCTAACAATAAAACTGGATACTAGGAATCTATCTCTGCCTTTTGGTGATATTTCGCATCTGTCGTTTTTCTCAAATGAACATGAAATTCTTCTAATGATTGGAACTATTCTGAGAGTTCGTAAAGTGATCTATGATAACAGCATACAGATGTATCTAGTGGACATAGAACTCAGTTATGACGGCGCTTTAGAAGAAGAGCAACAACAATTCGAAAAAACTGCAGCAGTAAAATACTGTATGAATTTAGCTGTGAATAGCTTTTTTACAGCCACAACAGAACAAATTACTGCTATCTTTAGCCAATTTAATGAATTATTTCCGTACGACAACGACCTGATAGAAATAATCAAATGTCATTGTTTTGGAAAACACTATGAGTTGAGCCAAGATCACAACGAAGCATTGGCAAATTTTGAAAAAGCACTAAAAACTTTTGAAAGGTGTTCAAGCGATATCATGACAAAAATGAATGCTGATATTATTAAGATACACGAAGATATGGCACGCGTTTACCAACAATATATAGACGATAACACTCTGGCAAACAAACATTATGAGATTATACTTAATTTTTATATTTCTTCCATTCAAAAAACTATCAATACTAAAGAAAAATTGCAGATAATCCAGAAAATATTGCAAGTCTACGATAAGAAGATAGAATTAAGTCAGAATGGGAACGAAAGAAGAGAAAACATATTGAATGCTATTGAATACCAAAAACTACTCGTCAATGGAAAGGAGAAGGATAATTCAGTTGAATATAAAGATATTGCAGCCGATTATCAACATTTAGCTGATCTACAAAAATCGATATCTGATTTGGAAGAAGCAGCAAGAAATTATGAAAGATCTGCTGAGATTTACATCACACAGGAACAGCCAGATTATCATTATATTACGGGAATGTATAAGTCAATTTGTGAACTCTATATTGATGAGAAAGAAGACTACACCGCTGCTCTTCCATATAAAGCGAAAGAACTTGAATTTTGGAAGAAAGAAAAAATAGTTAACCCGACGGACACAACGGATGATCCCTCGTATGTTGCTATTTGTAACCAGGAGATAGCTGATATCTATATCAAGTTACATCAATTTCAAAGGGCAACTGAACATTTACTCGTGGCAAAACAAATATATGAAAACAGTCAGTACATTTACAAGAAGTCGCAAATCAAGGCGATATTAAAAAAGATATCAAAGCTCGAATCATTATCACCGGACATAAGCTTTTTAACTAATTCAGACATATCTGAATCTACTGAGAGCATTGGATCTAATAACGATAGCTCAGAAACCAGAGAGAGCGTAGAAACGCCACACATCCCAGAATATCCAAGGAATAATGCAGACTAGCTATTATCTATAAGTATGAGCACTGACGGGCATCTAACTTACTGTGCGGTCTTTGTACGGACTGCTTTCTAATTCGAATCTTTTGAACATGCTTTTTGCCTGGATTAATAAAAGTCGGTTGAAGTCACACTAAACGCATCTACTCAAGGTATGCGTACCTATCGCCTTTTTGTGAATTTTATCAATTCGGATAAACGCTCATATAAACGTGTTGCCACTTGCCTTCAAACCCAGAGAAGAGTACAAGCCAAAATGCTCGGCTCCAGACGCCACTTCGTACACACGCTTGACATAAGGAGCCCGTTATATGACTGGGATAGGTGTAATATACCTCTTAGTGATCTGCTCCTTGAAAGGCCGATAAAAATAAGCAGACACCTAGTGATACAACACTGAGAGATCTCCGGCCCACTCTTCGTGGAAGACACGGACAGTTAGTTAGTTAGTTAGACCCGCTACCGTTTCTGGTGTAGGGTGAGAATAAAACATCAGGAAAAAAATAACACAAAAAGAAAAGAGTGTTCAATTTGACGGAAGTAGTGTTCGTTTCTATTGAAAATTGAACTAAGTTAATTATCAAGATACCAC